TGTGTGTGTGTGTGTGTGTGTGTGTGTGTGTGTGTGTGTGTGTGTGTCTGTGTTTAGGTGAGCTGTTACAACGAGCTGGAGGTGATGATCCACCCTGACGGAGTGATCCCTGTGCTGACCTTCCTGAGGGACCACACCAACACCCAGTTCAGGAACATGATCGACCTCACGGCTGTCGACATCCCATCACGGCAGAACCGCTTTGAGGTAGCTGACACACACACACACAGACACACCTAGACATATGGCCTAATGGTGACAATTAATGGTAACAAATCTGATAAGACTGCCCCTTTACTGTAGTGTTATAGTCTTTTAATCCATTTTACACCACATTTTTACCTGTGAAATAAAGCTTTGACAGGAGAGTATTATTTGTCTTTTATATGTGTGTGTGTGCTGCTTTACAGATTGTGTACCACCTTCTGTCGCTGCGCTACAAATCTCGTATCCGCATTAAGACGTACACAGACGAGTTATCACCGGTGGACTCTGCGGTTCCGGTCCACATGGCCGCCAACTGGTACGAGAGGGAGGTGAGTCAAGAAACCGGTCCGGTTTTATTTGAATTCCACTGACATTCGGACAAACTGAGCCTAGAAGTAAGTGTGTGTGTGTGTGTGTGTGTGTGTGTGTGTGTGTGTGTGTGTGTGAGAGAAGGTTTGGGACATGTACGGCGTGTTCTTTGCTAACCACCCAGACCTGAGGCGTATTCTGACGGACTACGGCTTCGAGGGTCACCCCTTCAGGAAGGACTTCCCTCTCTCAGGATACGTAGAGGTACTCAGTCGGCTTTATTCGGCTTCGTCGGTGTGTGTGACTAGTGTGTCTTCGTATTGGCAGGATGGAAGCTGTGCCCAGACAATAGGAAGAGAGAGGACGTTAAACCATTTTCTGTGGTCATTTAACTATGGTCATAAAAGCAAATGGTGATTGTTGATATTTGTTGTGGTGACAACACACGTCACGCTGGGAAGAGAGTGGCTGCAGCTCCGGAGACGAACGGCTGGCTAGTTAGTTAGCTAGCTAGCATGCCCTTTTTCCAGCGATGCGGGGAGTGAGACCGTTCGACACAATGTAGCATTAAAGCACGGTGGAATTAGCAAGCTAGCTAACTGGCCAGCCGTCTGCTAGTTAGTTCACTAGCTTTCTAATTTACATTTTTTTTATTTTGAAGTTGGCCCGCTACAACGGTCGCAATGGCAACAGAAAGCGTAACAAATGTCCGCCTCTCTGAACATCCTGCCATGTTTGTTTGAATGGGAATGCCCCTTCTGTTCATATTCTATCTCTGTGCTCCAAACTCTTATGAGCTAAAACTCTGCAGGATCCTGTGATTTAAAAATGAAATAAATGTATTGATCTTGTGATAATTAATCCGGGGTTTGCCTTAAACCTTAAAAATCCTTAATAGTTTGTGTTTAGAAGGAATCATTTATGGCCTAAATACTTTCTGAAGCTACATAGATTTCTTTGAAATAATGAATTATTAATGTCAGCATTAATTAAGGCTTCTCACGTAGTTTTGTTTTTATATATTCCACCAAGACCAGGCAGATTTTAGACAGAAATGACTTCATACTTATTTAAATTGCTAAACTGCAGCACGTTCCCTCTGCAGGTGCGTTACGATGACGAGGTGAAGCGAGTGGTGGCGGAGCCCGTCGAGCTGTCGCAGGAGTTCAGGAAGTTTGACCTGAACACGCCGTGGGAGGTGTTCCCCGCCTACCGAGAGCCCAAAGAGGTCGCGCCCAAGCTGGAGGCCGGAGACGTGGCCCCCGAGGCCCCCAAGTGAAGCGTTCCTCTGTTTCATCACCACGTTCTGTCTGGTCGGGTCATTCTGGGACTCCTGAACAAACCACACCTGAAATATTTATGTAAATAAAAAACAGTAATAACTCAACCTTCATTAGAGTTGTTGTGGATCTGTTCATTTTTTATTATTTCAGTGTCTTTCTGGTTAAAAGTATGTGGATAATGTAACTCTTTACCTTTCAGTTGGGCCTAAAACAAAACAAGCCTAACTTTTGGTGTCCACATACTTTTGACTTTAATAAAAAATACAAACACTCTTGCTACTGTAACAAACTCTTCTTTGTGTGTGACTGCTTAACTGTTATATAATCTATCATTTGATTATTATTACTCGTGCATTGACGTAAAAGCTGAGCTCTTTTTGAACTATTAACTGGTGATTATTTTCGTCATTGATTCATCTGCTGCTAATTTATTCCATTAATCAATCAATCGATTGATTGTTTGGTTTGTAAAAAATAACAAAAATAGTGACAAATGTCAAAGTTACTCAGAGCTCAACGTTCAGGTTATAAAGTGCACAACAATTACAGATTTATTTATTTAGCCTTATACAGTATATCAGTATCAGAAATGGTTTGTTTTCACATACAAGGAATCTGATTTGGTAAATAGTCCATAACAAACAGTACAATAGTGAAAAGAATAATAAGAAAAGCAAACCAATCCATAAGAATACCTTTATCGTGTATGTTAAGGTGAGTGGTCAACTGGTTAATCCACTAATCGATATTAGTCGAGCATCCCCTGCTTTATGG